TTCTTAAGGTATTCTTCGAAGTTGGAAACCACCAGTGTTTGGTGTTTATTTATTCTATGCTTCATGCTTGAGTATATTATTTTACACTTGGAATGTACTTAATTTATTCTATCAGCTGAAACATGTGATTTAAATTAATCAAACTAATATTTACTTCCCGTGATTTGTTTTTGCTACATCCATGACGACGGACAATTACTTAGTCTCAAACTCAAAAGTAAGTAACGAATGGATTCTTTAGTTTTTATATTTCTTTACCACATAGCTTTCATTTTGACCCCAACCATTGTTTATTTAAGAATTCCATCTTCAATCAACTTTTCTTTACAGGTTTCAATGTTACTTCAAATACTGTACCTCAACTAACATTCCATTTGACCTGGCCACAAGTTTAACATTCCCTTTTGGGTCTCATCCACACATGATACCAAGTGCGATAGGACCTCGCCGAGGCAGACCACCAGGGAGAGGAAGAACACCAACCCTCATCCGTGAGTGGTCTAACAGAAGGGGATATGCTGGAGAAAGTCAAGAGCAACGCCAAGAACGCCTTGAAAGAGATGAACTCGCTCAACGGAATCGCATGCAAAATCACAAGCTGCTTGCACACCAACAACTCCTGGAGAATACAACTCCTGTGTCTAACTTACAACCGTTAAATGTGAACGTCACGTCAAACCAACAGTTTAATGCGGATAAAACAATTATGTCCCATGAAGGTAAGGTTAGTTTACCACCTATTCAATTTTGTGAAAAGCACTCATAGAGAAAAACAATGCTGAAACAAAAAACTACCTTGAAAATACTAGGCAATTTAACGATGCCGTTGTTTTGGTCCAAGTTAGCTCTGTTCACATTTCTGGTAGAAGGTCTCTTTGTATTTTTGTAGAAGTACTTGGCCAGATGTATCATACAGGTTTACAAACTCTTCAAGTAGTTGCCCCATCTTACGCTGGGCTTTTAAAAAGATTTTGACACTGCCTTGCGGCATCTTATCGACAATCAAGCGAATAGGAACTGTTGCAGAAAATGAATGTGCCTATCGCACAACCCTTATGCTCAGTTGTTCAAATATCTCAAAGATCTAGACATCTCTGCACCAGAATTAATAATACAGTTCACGACGACCAATGCCTTCCATCCTGGAAGATCAAATGCACCTGCAGTTTTTAGTGAGGTTGCTGCTGTTTTTGTCATAATTTATGGCACGCCTCCAGGTAATGTTGACTTTGTCATGTACTCCAAAACAACTGGTGCACTTTACAAGATCTCATGTTTAAATCCTCACTGTGATCCGTTATGCTACCCACAAGGTGATTCGGGTTGGACAACAGGTCTGCAGCATGTCTCAATTCATGCTACTGCCTCGCGGGTAGCCAAAACCCGTTGCAGTATTATTGTTATCATTTGGCAGTGAGAGGGAGTTTCAGTATATTGCATGCTTCAGGAAAATTATTCCAGCAATATATTGTAGACAGTTATGTACAAGTGGAGGGTTCTAAGTATTTATCAGATCTCATCAAAAAGAGTTGCGGGCTGATACGTAGAAAGGTTGTATGGACTACCATCATGCTGATGTTCAACAAAGAGGAGCGGTTGCTGCAGTTCCTGTGGTTCTTCCAACTTACATTGGCAGCCCCCACTATTTGCTTTAAAACTATCAAGACTCTATGGTTGCCCGATTTGGCAAACCAGATGTCTTTGTCACAGTCACGTGTAATCCAAAATGGCCTGAAATCACCTCTCAACGCAATACGAGAAAGGTGAACATAGACGTGACCTGGTAACAAGAGTTATTTACATAAAATTACAAGCAATCTTTGACGACCTCTTGAAAAAACACGTGTTTGGCGTAGTCATTGCCTATTTTGCGGTTGTTGAGTTTTAAAAACGGGGCCTTCCACCTTCCTCATTGTCACATCTTGCTTATTTTGGCTGATGCAGATGAATTGCGTTCACCAGAGTCATACTAAAAAGAACACCATCATCATGTTGATTAGGAATCCAAACGTAGGGCTTAATTAATGGCGCAAAATTGGTTGTAACTCACTTGGGTAACCACACTATTACAGCAAAATTGATTTATTCTTGTCAAATTGTTGTCATACCTCGCATTAACCTCACACCTGATCCTGCTGTGCCTTTCAAACTGACTCGGAGGCAATATCCCATCAAAGTTGCATTCAGGGCTATTAACATTGAATATAATTTTTATCTATACTATTATAAAATTGAGGTGATATCTGTCTGTCCGGCTGTCGCGACTAAAATACTAAACCGATACAGCCCAAATTAAGCCCAAAGGTTGTCCACATACCTAGGCATGTCATAGGACTATTCACGTCCCTGAGTTCCTCTCGGGCTCCGCCGCTCCGCCCCGTGGATGTCCAAAGTTTTGTTGTGAGCGTTTCAAAAGTAAATATAGATTGGTCCCCATGGACGCATGAAAAATGTTTTCCTATGCGTTGAGATTTAAATGTACACAAGCAAATCTTCCAAAATACTTCTTTAAAAATTTCAGACAGCTGATCCAAACAAATTAAAAGTGATATTTTACACATCTATTTGGTGGTTTATCGAGTCTAAAACTAAACTTAACTTTATTCTAAAACGATTATCTTTATCTTCTAACGTCCGTGATTTGTAGTAATTAATTGTGCCTTTGTCCACATCAGCTGTTAACAACTAATTGTTATCTTTACAAATGTATTTTAAAATATTTTCCACAGCTGTGTTTGTTTGTTTTTGATTGATGTTGTTAGTATACAGTTATTATAGAAGTTCTATAGCTATTCATAAGCCTGAGGGTTAGTGTTCGGTCATGAGTGATAGTTTAGTACAAATCTGTAGGATAAATAATGCCTTATAGAAGAAAATCAAATTTGTCACTAAAAACTTCAGCTGCCAGACGTATAGCAGCAGCTCGAGCTGTCGAGACTCCTGAACAGCGGAGACTACGTCAACTTAAAAACGCAGCAAGGCAAGCCTTTCAAAGAGCTTCTGAGACGCCTGATCAGCGCAACGCACGCCTGGCTGACGACGCAGCAAGACAGGCCTCTCGAAGAGCTTCTGAGACGGCTGATCAGCGCAACGCACGCCTGGCTGACGACGCAGCAAGGCAGGCCTCTCGAAGAGCTTCTGAGACGCCTGATCAGCGCAACGCACGCCTGGCTGACGACGCAGCAAGGCAGGCCTCTCGAAGAGCTTCTGAGACGCCTGATCAGCGCAACGCACGCCTGGCTGACGACGCAGCAAGGCAAGCTTTTCAAAGAGCTTCTGAAACGCCTGATCAGCGCAACGCACGCCTGGCTGACGACGCAGCAAGGCAGGCCTATCGAAGAGCTTCTGAAACGCCTGATCAGCGCAACGCACGCCTGGCTGACGACGCAGCAAGGCAGGCCTATCGAAGAGCTTCTGAGACGCCTGATCAGCGCAACGCACGCCTGGCTGACGACGCAGCAAGGCAGGCCTCTCGAAGAGCTTCTGAGACGCCTGATCAGCGCAACGCACGCCTGGCTGACGACGCAGCAAGGCAGGCCTCTCAACGAGCTTTAAGGACTCCAGAAAATCATGAAGCAAACCTCTTTACCAGAAGGCAGGAGAGATTACAGTTGATAAACATGAAATGGGATCAGTTTGGAGGTATAGCTTTCAATTATTACTACCTTAATATCAGTTATAACTATAATGAATTACAAAGAATTTGTGATATGACCAGCAACAGTTGCATTTGTGCAAAATCATGGAAAAGTAAAAGTCCGGGGGTTTGCTGCTCTCTGGATCCTCTCTTAGAGGTTGGGTAGTGGTTGTATAGTTGTATAGTCCTCTATTTGGTGGGAATGTTTGTACAGATTTTTACTGTCAAGTTAGGTTAGAGGTATTATGGCGTAAAATATTGTACGCCACTCGCCAATCTAAAACTTTATTGTGGATTATTTATTCTAAATCTATTTCAATGATTATGAAACAGATCTTTCTTCTCGTTGCGAAGAACGGGTACAATACAGCAGCTAGTTGTGTTGTGTTAATATTCAATGCTATTAATAAGGTACACCAAACCATTTTTTTCAGATGGTCGATTGTATGTGGCGTTTTCCAGGGTGCGCTCTTTCAATGACATCTATATCTGTGTAAAAGAAACCCAAAACAAACAATCACCAATGACCACATACAGTAATCACATCAAACATAGTGTTTAGAGATCCTTTGAACATGTAAATACGCTGTAAATATGAAAATAACTTTACCTACGACCGTTTTTTAAAGTAGCCGTTTCAGTTCAGTTCTTAGAATTAAACGGTTTCACATAACAGCATTGTTTAATAACACTAACAGCATAGTTTTACTAATGACAACATGGGTAACGGACCAATGAGGTTCAAGGGTTGAGAGAGAAGAAGTAAAGTTGTACTGTAATGATTTGAACTTCAACTAATCAGCTGTTCAGGCCAATTTAATTGTTGAATGGTACAATTATTGTTTGGTACAATGTATCGTTGCATTAGTCAGTGGCAATGAGAGGTTTTAAACGAAAACATAACCTCTCTTAGAAGTTATGAGTGGTGTTTTTTTTAGTTACAGTAAAACACTGTCGTAGGCAAAGTAGTGTACGCAACTCGCGTACATACAGTAGTATAAACTCAATTGTTGCGTAAACTAAATTATAACCTAATATTTAAAAAAATAAATCTTAAAAAATGTAAACACACATCTTTTATTTCTTCTTTAACCCATGTCTACATTAGATTGAAATTACGCACTAACTATCGTTACTAACTATACTGTGTGCACTTCAATTGAGAGATATTTAAAGAGAGTACAGTGTGAATGCTTCAATCGGGTAAGCTAGATTTATTATGAATTACTTTTCATAAAACAGTTCAATTGCATTGTGAACACACTGAGGCTAAAAGCAGAAGCGGTGAACGATATTCCATCAATCATTTCACGAGCTAGCGATAAACTCATAACAGAGCGCACGGATGCCAACTTTGCTGGTACAGCTGCAACTGTGATATTTCGGTCTGTCGGCGCGGTGGGGTGGTACCACTGCGGGTCGATGCGTGGTGCGCGCGACGACGCGTGCGCGGTACTGCATTCACTACGCCACAAACACAACGATAATGCCAAGATGCCGCCGCTGCCAGGGGACGTCCAGTGGTTTCCAGCAGAAATCAGAAGACTTATCTGCGCCATCAAGAAACACGATGGTCTCTACAATCCGAGGACTGAATACTTCGGGCTGCGCGACTACCAGACGCGCACGTGGAAGTCGGTGGCGGAGGAGGTCGGCGGCGGCAAAACAGGTGAGGTTAGGTTAGCGTTATGAGTCACTGATAACAATTAGATGTTATCAATAACCATTTAAAACTGGAATTAACGTGGTGAAGTGCAACGTAGCCTCGGTTGTTTAGCTGCGCTTTCAACCCACTGCATTTAGGCAACGACTGAAGATAGCTCTTGTGTCTAAAAATAGAAGTAGCAGCTCAGCAGCTCTATTGTACATTGAGTGGTAAATTGGCCCAATAAAACGTCGACCTATTCGCTTTCGTGGCAATTTCTAGCTCAGGAACATCAATATTTGTGTTTAAAAAACATTTTAAGACAATCTAATGAGAAATTGAAGTTGAAGCAGCAGAAAAACTTGTAAGGTACATAAGTGGTAATTGTTAGTAAAACGTCAACCTAAAAAAATGTATTTTCGTGACAATAGGTACCTAACTTAGCTAAGCCAAAATTTTGCATTTCCAAAGATTTTTTACTTGTGGATCCTAAACAAATTATTAACCTTCCAATCTACCCGGTATGCATTGCGTCCTTTTATCAACGTAGTGAAAATCAAGGAGGCCGTGCATTTGTCATGTTGATAAGCGCAAATGCTCTAGTATCTCGAGCTTATCAAAGAGAAATAAATTGCGATATCACTCTCTTTGCTCACGTGTTTAAACGTTACATAATTTGAACAAACAAGATCTCTATTGTCGCTGTCGTATTTCTTTATCTGAAGTTCTGTCTATATTTGTACAAGCGCAGACTTCACTGCCACAGTTTCTATGGGGCTGGGGGTGTGTGCGGTGGGTGGAACAGCCTAACTACCCCAGTCGATAAGCGTGGTAGCTACGTCATTCGTGTTGTGCGCAAACAGCTGTTTACATGCTTTGTTACTGTGCAGCAGCATTGATTTGTTTGGTGCATCGTCCGATCGTCCTTGAATATTTCAGATTTGACTTTGCTGACATGGCATGTTATTTAAGATGATTATGTTGGATCACAGATATTTATGTAGAATATATATCAACACATATATCACAGAATTATATGTGATATGGTTGAATTGCTGGAGTTAAGAATCAAATACTAAACATACGAATTTAGCCCAAACAAATAAACAAAAAATTTAATTTGATTTTTCAAGTTAATATAATATATTGATTAATAAGTCTATTTTGATAAATGTTTTCTATTGTCTACCTTTTCCTTTAAATAATTTTTTTATCATTAAGATATTGCATTAAGGTTGTGTAGATTAAGGTGTATTATGGTATCCCCCTATAAAATTAATTGAAGACATAAAAGGATTTTTACAACTACAACAAAAAAACTTTATAGAATATCTTCTTCCCTTCTGAAATGATTTAAAATAAAAAACTGAATCTGGTTCAAACATTTTTATTTTACTAAAATATAATAGGCTACTGCATTAAAAAAATTGACATGTATCCAATAATCCAATGTGATATGGCTCTATAATAATGTCAGGTAGGAGGTAACTTCATGAATTAGTTGACACGTTTAGTCGTGTTACCGAAAATATACTCTCATGGTAAAATTGCATACCTCTGTTGTAAAATTAATTGTTCATACAATAAAGCTATGTGACACCCTGTGTCTAGTATTGCTTTCCGTAATAAAAAATTGTAGTAAGGCCATAAAATAAAAATTGATTTTCTTTAAAAATTGTATAAGGCCACTTAAACGTTTCTTAACTTTTGTGCATTTTTCCTTCAAGGAAAAGAGATGTTACAAAACTAACAAAGATTTCTTGTAGATTAAATTTTTCAATGTTTGATCCTTCTTTTTTATTCTTCTTTGTTATTCTTCTTTTAAATCTCAATCAGGAGTTGATCTACTGTGTCTTCATTAAGTTTTGCACATGCTCTCCCTCACGCCCCAGATGTTTTTTAGTGTGTTTTAAAGACTTGCAAATTGAAAGAGGGAGGATTGATTTATCTAATTTTGTGTGCAAGGGGATTTAGGAGTATTGTAATTCCTTTTGGTAATAAATTACAGTGTCATATTTAAATAACACTTTCAGATTTGAACATGTTTAAAAAAATAAAATAATTACTAACAATGTTTATTTTAGGGTGTGGAGAAATCCAGTGATAATAATGTATCAAGCTTATTTAGGTTTTACACTTTTTCATGTTGTTGTTTACACCTCCGACATCTTCAGACTATACCTACCTATTATCGCTATTACACTCATCCTGTACTGAAGATTGTCAATTTAAATTTTAAGAAACAAAACAGTGCTTATTTAAACATAAACAATACAGAAACATATGACAAATTAACTTGGATAAATCAGCTGATTAGTTCAGACATGAACCAGTAGAAGTGGAGTCTAGACCTCTGTTTTAAATTTAAATTGGCGATCTTTAGATGAAGATTGCTACAATATAATATGTTCTTGTACAGCCTGAAAAAGGCACCAACTTGTTGCTGAAACTACTAGCTGTAAGCAATTTTTAATGATTACCATAAAGCAAGTATTAACACTATTTTAATTTTTACACTTTTTATAAATAAATATTTCCTAGCGTTTCTCTGAAACATCAAATTTTTATGTAGTCAACTACCCTACTAATAATCTATATATAAAGCCAAAAGTACCCATGAACTTTTGAGAAAACTACAAGTCACACCCCCATAAACCATATACTTAAAATGTTCGTCATGACGAGAAACCTTGCGCAAAATTATCCATTATTTCATAAATTGCCATATAAGGTCGTAATTGCTTTCCAAAGGGAACTTTCCATTTACCTAATGTTAAAAATACCTCAGCTGTTATTATTTGTTTGTATTACCATTACTGTATTCTGCTTTGTTTATTTCAGCTTAACTTAACCAATCAATAGTTTTATTAATACTTATGTAGTAAACGGGGTGGAGCCCGTGGGTAACAGCTAGTTATCTTAACAATATTTTCAATTGACAAACATATTTGTATTGCAGACACACAATGTCGGGACAAATGGAACTGTCTAAGAGGAACGTACCGAAGACACGTGAGGACTGAGGCGACCAATACAGTAAAGCGTCGTAGTGGCTGGCCATGGGCCGACATGATGGGCTTCATCAAACCTTTCGTCTCGGAAGCGTAAGTCAGAGTTTTCAATCGACATATTACCTATTTCCTACCTCTTAGTTACACACTGGTGTTGTCAACATCGTAACTAATAGATCTTGCGTGCGATCGTATACGAACCAACCCATGTTTTCAAATTAGTTGTTTTGATGGCTTACGACAAATGTCCGAGACATCATCTGAGTTTAGGAAATGTGTTGAACCGGATGTTCGGTATTTGGTGAGACATGTCATACGATGTTATAGGCGTAGCATGCTCCCTGGCGTGCATTCCCCAGCAATAAGGTTATTTAGCCTTCTACAAAGTACGCTTCGAGTCAATGATTGATCACAGCGTTAAGTTTCATTCTGAAATATTCTTGAAACATTGATTTTTGGTTCAATTATTGGGTTGAAACAAATTGGCTAAACTCCATGTTTACTTTAGAGAATAAGTCAAACGTTCAAATATATTTAAAACTCTGCACCGTCGGCAATTAACAGAAAATTTCTTGTTTTCTGAACCCATTTTGGCACCCGGACCCAGAATAGTATAATAACTGTGTCAAACACAAAAAAAATCCATGTCTTCCAATTTAATCAGACACAACATGTGACTTAAGACATGATGTCTGTGACACCAGTGTGCAACCTGCCTAAAATGAAAATTACAAGTAGGGATGTCAGGTTAGTTTGTATGCATTGGGATCATCTTGATCCATTTCCGCTCCAGAATATAGAGATTTTGTCAATAAAAAGTCTTATGTTTGATAAGACCATTAATGGACTAATTGGCAATAAAATAAAACGCATTTTGATTAAAATTAGGACTCTCCTACAATTAACCTCTAAAAAATATAATACTAACATATTTACAAAAAAATATTGTAATATAACAATGGTATCTAAGAAAAGAAAAATACTTCTAGTAAACCATGAACCATCAAAATATTATATCCAACCAGCTATCTTCTGATTTAAAAGTGAACTCTATAACCTCTTTTGCTTCTCTAAAAATTAATTATAATGATACAATCATGAACTTTTTTCGTATCACACCTTACAACGAGCAGTTAACTACAAACAATGAGAATTAAAACAACTTCATCACGGTAATTTCAATTCAATCTAAAAATCTTTAATGAAACGAAGGTTGTATATCAATACAAAGTAGAGTCTGTGTCGCTAAAAATTCTAAAATACAAACTAGCCCACATTGCTTTATAATTTGATACTCTCAAAATTATTTCTATGATATAACAGCTGTTATGTATTAATTATAATTTTTTGTTATCGTTTATGTTGGTTTTCTTTAAAATAAAACGACTTTACTATCAAACTATTCTGTGTAATACAACTTTATTATTGGTGGCAGCGGTCAAAAGATTAAGGTATGATTGGTGACTACTTTCTGATTTACAGTTTGATACAGCTATTCACTATTGTAAGGCTAGGGAAGAGAATCAAAAATAGGTTAAAAACATGGGAGAAAGTTGTTCTTTTCAAAACTATCGCGATCATCCTAGTTTTGAAATTCATAAGATGGCTAAGAATAATGATTTCAGACCTGCTAAAAATGTAATTAAGAAGACCTTTTTTAAGTGTAAGACTAGCCATAGTTATAGAAACTGTCCAGCTTGAGGGAATAGGTGTACCAACTGTAACAAATTAAACCACTTTTCAAAAGCTTGCTAAGAAGCAAAGTTACATTCGGTAGAATATGAAGAAAACATTAAAGCATATGAAGAAAATTCATTTTAGTATAGAAACAATTATTAATAGTGTAGATTCCGTAAATTCTTGGACGCAAAAGCTTATTGTAAATGGAATAGAAATCTCTTTCAAACTTGACACTGGACCAGATGTAAATTTTATTTCTTCCAACATTCATCAGAAAATCACAAATGAATCAAACATTCTCACTGCTGCCACTAGTAATAGAGTTGTATTACATAGAATAGTTTTGTACTAAAGTCATTTTTATTTCAAAGAAATTCAACCAACACAAACAATAACAAAACAAACAATAATAATTAATACATAACAGCTGTTCTGTCACAGGCTAAAAATATTTATTTGCACTCTTATTCAACAGACGATCATGGACAGTTTCCATTACAATTGGTAAATAAAACCAAAGTTTTCTCGAACGGTTCCAGATCTAAAATCTAATCCCGTCCCCAGATGAGAAAGTATCAAATTACTAAAAAAATGGTATACAAACTCGGCCAAAGCTGGTAGAACAATAAAAACATTGCCACAAATAAATATTTTATTTTAATTATGTGGTTATGTGAGTGGATTTTATTGTTTTCACAGCTTCCGCTGGGTTTGTGTAATAATGTAATGTTTTGATGCTTTCTTATACCTGAGAATAGGATCAGATTTCAGGGTACCTCATAGTTTTTTCTAATCGTGGTGAAATTTGGTCGCAAATTAGGTAAACTATAGTATCACATTGTCTCAACTGTACTTGTAACTTTAAGAAAATTTCTTGTTATTGGATCTCCAGGTCTACTTTAGTGTAAATTCAATGGTGCACAATCCCATGCTTATGACACAGACCCAACCCTTTGGTTTGCCATATCTTATCCAGAACTTTAGTTACTGGTGTTCTGTAATGACACAGTTGTTTATTTTCCAGTGGTGACATACCTCCAGCTGCAGATACCAACAAGAGCACCACTCCTCCTACCTCCAAGCCAGCAGTTACTCAAACCGTAGTCCTGACTAAGCCAACAGTCAACATGGTCAGACCTGGGCTGACTCTGGCTCACAAGAGCAACTGTCCGATGACTGTGAAAGCAGGAGGGACTCTCACATTAGCCAGCAACATGTTCCCTGGAGGCTTCATCTTCAACAACGGCATCAGAGTCGTCCAACCAAACCAAGGCAACATGATAGGCGTCGTGCAACCCAACCAACTCAATCTAGTCCAATCACCGCAGGGGGTGATGAAATTCGTTCAAGCCAATACAGGAGTCGGAATAGTCCAACCCACCCAAAAGTCCATCGAAAAGGAAAAACCAGCCAAGACAAAATCGAGTTTTGAGTCAGACGTTGATCTCAAAAGGGTCAAGCATGATCCTGACAATGAACCAAAGACGACAGAGTTTGTCGATATGGAAGTCGCAATCAAGACTGAACCTTTGGAAGAAGAGGAATTACAGTTACCTGATACTTATTCCTACCTACCTGAGGACTCTCAGGAAAATAGTCAAGACGCTAGTAGAGATAATAGTCAAGATGCCATCTCTAGTAGAGAATCCAACGGAAGATCTCCTGATAAAAACTTGCCAGAGAGTCAAGAAGATATTGACTCGAACGAACTCTTCATGAAGAGTACGATATGTCACATGCGGAAACTTTCTGCGTACGACCAAAGTGTCTTCAAGCTCAAAGTTCAACAATTGTTGCACGACATGATGTTTCCCAAGCCATAGATTATGCAAATGTTTCTAGTCATTGAAACTATACCAAATGTTTTACCAAACTAAGCGTTCTAAGAGTTTATTTTATTTTCAAAGTGTATATTGAGTTTATTTTGTTTTCAAAGTGTGTTTTGAGTTTATTTTGTTTGAAGAGTGTATTTTGAATTGTAATACAACTTGTTATAGAAAATATTCTTTTTCTTATTCTTTTCCTTCTACTCTTATGTGTATTAAATACTCCTCTTTCATGATTCACCACTGAAATATAATTAGAGAGAGAAAGAGGAGAGGTCAAGGTCACTCCATATCTTGAAGGTCATAACCTATCACGTGCACAGCTGTTTGATAGTAAATCAGCTGTTGCTGATACTTCATTCAATAGCAGAGATCTGGCAACCGTCCAAACCTCTCTTTTGCTCTCAGTTCCAAAATATCTCTTTGATTCTTTATGCCAATAAGTTCTATTGGGTAGTTACAATATGCTTTTCAAACGTTAATGTTCCTAATACACGTGGTTTCAGCAAACATTTTCCTGTTTAGCTGTTACATTTTGTCACATATACACTTCAGAAACCCAAATTTCACATTGAATAAAAAATACAACAAAAAGCAAGACTATCTCTTTAGGGATCTTCAAGAGACGACTCATCGACCAAATTGTGACTTCTGTCCGTAAATAATGAAATCTGTTTTCCTGCTGAGAGCAAACACGTGCCACCCCTCCCCCCCCCCAAACACACGCGTGTAGCGCACTCGAGGGGTTGACTAATAGTCCTTCCCTCCCCTGTGAATGAGGCTTCTGGTTTTATGACTAATTTCATCCGCTAACACCAGTAAATAAATCTCTAGTATTATATCTGTAGCTGAGATTAAGCGTTGGAATTATTAGTCTAACAGCTGACTTTAAGAGTATTTTACGTTTTTGCCGTGACATACAGCTGTGGTTGTTTTTGGTGAAAATGCGGAGTTTTAAGTTTGTTAAGTTGGTAGCACAGTCGTGAGGACTTACAATTCAAGTTCTGTATCGTTAACCTAAAATGTGATTTTTTTAGGTTAGGGGCATTTGTAGGTTGATAAAAAATCAAAGAATATAAGTAGTAAAAACATGTATTATTGCACTAAATGAACACTAGTAATTGCAGATTTGCAGGCCAGTACAGTTAGGGGGAAAATGTTTTGTAAGTGTATCACATTTCACACTCACGGTCCAAGGAGGTTTTTGATGGGAAACTTCGAAACTTCTCACGTCAGGTTAGAATATGCAGAAATTGTGCCCTGGGTCAATCATAAACATACATAAAGTCTCGCACTTCTCGTAGCATTCTTCGATTCGTCTTAGAGAATCGAAGCGGACAAACTCTGGAAGTAAACAATGCAGTCGGCGATTATACACCGTGCTAGAAATACAACTGAATGTAGCACAGGCACGGAAACTCTGCTAGAAAATCGACACACTGTAAAATCCCCTATTCTCCCAGTCCTAAGGTACTAAGTACAATGTATATTACCCTAAGTACATGCGGCGGCCAAACCCAAGTGGCGGCCAACGTGTCTCAATTCTCATTCAGTGCTATCAGTTGTATCTCTCAGTGAAGGATGACCGAACGATTTCGTCACTTCCAATAATGTAAAGAGTTGGTAGTCCTTAATTGTTATCCACGATCAGCTGTTTGTGACAGTTCAACAATAAGGAACTAGGACATCTGTGCGAGCCACGAGTCACACGCGATATCACATGACTCACGATACAACTCGTGACTCCTAGCTTGGCTCATCGTGAGTCATACTAGTGCTCATTGCAGGATGATCTTGCACTACTGGGGTATACGTTTTACAAACTTCCGCAATTTATTAAGTAAGATCACGAATATTGGAACAGAAACATGGATCATAAACTAATTTACGTCACTGGCCCAAATATACTAATAACATTAACGTGGTTTTGACGTTTGTTGACAGTTCCGTTTAAATGTACGAACGTGTTTACTTTCGGGCCAGTGACGTAATTTATGTTTATGATCCACACCGTTTCTGTTCTAAAATCCGTGGGGAAGATTAAACGATCGGAAAATATTTACATTTTCGTGTTTGTGGGAGTTCTAAAATGGTCCTTCGTGTAACAATCATAGTTAAAGGGTCAATAACCAAATAACCTTTGCATTAACGGCGGTAAACGTGAAGACATCACATAGCTTGTCTGGATATGTTATGTACTTGTAAGTTCCATGAACAAAACATGAACATAAAATAAATTTTGTTTTAAATCATTGGCTGATCTAGCAGACCCTGTATCAATTGTCCATTTATCAATTGCCTCGAACTAAACAAAAATGATGTTTCGTTTTAACCATAACCGATCCAGCATAAATTAAATTAGAACTTGGTTTGACGTGTGTGGATTTCAGTAAGTAAAAATAGTATATTTAGGTGTAGGCTTATATAAAAATACGATCAAAAGCTATGTTTTGTGATTACAGCAGTTTATAATAGGTCCACTATAATGCGTTGTCAATCGTAAAACATGTTTTCAACATTTTCTTTCATCGTATTTTTCGTATGTGCGTTCTTTAATATCGACGGATCCAACCAAAATGGATGGATGACATTTTTTTTTGTTTTTTTTTTTTACTCCTGATGATGGACTCTAGATGTCTGAAACCATAGTAATGTCCTAATACATACTAAATAATATTGCTCTAATGTGCCAAATAAATATGATTTGGTTTGATTGAATAACAATAACAATGGATCAAACTACGGAGCACGCTTAAACTATTTAGCTTAAAATACTACTTAATACTTTAATATTGTCAACTACAATGGCGCCCATTCAATTGTAGGTATTTTTAGCCAAGTATGAACGACATACACATTATCATTATCACTTTCATAAAAAATTAATTAGTGATTGGCGGGATTTGAACCCCGAACCTTCGGCTCTGAAGCCCCGAGCTCTACCACTAGATCAGCTCCTTCCCCTAATATTCCATTATTAGTATGACTAATAAATAATGTACCACACAGATTCAATAAAAAATACACGCGATGCTACAATCTCAGCCAGCGAAGTCATCGGTATAAATAGAAGTGCAGTAGTCAGGTGTTTTGGAATGCCGAAACCCCATCATGCTGGAATGCTTTGACATTTAGCGGAATTCACCTTTTAGTCCTGTAAAATTCAGTAGATAAGAACATGAGTCAGAAGTCAGTACGGCCTTGACATTCCAGAGTTTAGCTGTGGGAAGTGTTTCTGGAGTTTCAATACACTGATGAGTTGTCTGAGTTCTGAGTTTGAGTTCTGAGTTGTTAGTACATACATCAACACAAGATCAATGAGTCAACCACATGTTTAGTATCTTAACCAAATCATTCTGCGTACAAATTCCATTTGAGTCACTCTTTCTTTCAACAGCGTTTAATCGCAAAGCTATTTTCTCAAGTCTATTTCGGTGAAGTTTTATTCTTGTAAATTTTTGATTGTGCTATTCATACCAAATTCTAAATCTCAAACATTATTCATGATTTGAACCCAACAGAAAATGATAGAATCATAAATTAGAAACAACAAAATCAGAAACCAAGAAAATGAGAAAAAAAGTAAAAGGTGACGCCTCCTCCAATCTTGATGACTGGAGAGGAGAAGAAAAGCAGTAAGTATATTATACATTCATAACCAACTTTGTAGATTGCAGTTCAAACCACATGAATAATCTAAACCTAAACCACATATACGTGATCTAAACCACATCCATGACTATAATAACAACCGTATTTATATCAGTAGCTTTGGAAAAATCCTATAAAAGCTTGTCACAATAGGTACCATAAATACGCCCTACAGCAATACAAGATAAGCTAATTGATTATGCAATTTGCTATCCAAAAATGTCTTATGATATCAATCTTTCTTTTTGAGTTTCATAGTTTAGCACGCGGACATCTTACGTAGCTTACTAGATTTTAGATATGGTCTTCACTAATTTCATGACATGTTTTGGGAGTTAAACACATAATAAAGAACTCTTCCAGATTTTCATCAAAACTTTTTATCAAAGAGGTCTTAAGACGATAAAATAACTTGATCTGATTAATGGTAAACGTTTAAAGTTTAACATTCTTAACACGATGAAATAATTCAATTTTTAAGAATCAGAACTCATTTTATAATACTGTATCTATATCCATATTATATATATATCCATATCAAAGTTGTATTCAAGGCTATTAACATTGAATATAATTTTTATCAATACTATTATAAAATTGAGGTGATGTCTGTCTGTCCGGCTGTCGCGACTAAAATACTAAACCGATACAGGCAAAATTAAGCACAAAGATTGTCCACATATCTAGGAATGTCATAGGCCTATTCACTTCCCTGGGTTCCTCTCGGGCTACGCCCCTTGGACGTTCAAAGATTTCATGTGAGGTTTTCAAAAGTAAATATTAATAATTGGTATCCATGGGAGCATGAGTAAATGCACAATGTTTACCTTTACATTGGCATTTTAATGTAAACAAACAGAACAGCCAAATGCTTATTTCACAATTTCAGACAGCTGATCCAAACAAATTGAATATAATATTTTACTCAACGATGTGGTATGTTTATTTCTTCTAACACTTCGTCATTGATTATTTATCCTCAAACTATGCCATTGATGATAATGGAAATAAAAAAAGATTTGATAATCGTTGCTGTATCAACCATGGCTCTGCTTTTGATTTGAAGTATGTAAGCTATGAAAATAATGTTGTTTAAATATTGTCATGTAAACAGTAGGACAATTGCATGTAGGTTATACTTTTTTGTATAAATTTTGTGGCTTTTTGTTTTAAAATGTGAACTACTTATTGTTGGATTAGGTGGTACAGTACATCTTCCCGTTGCAAAGCACGGGTATAGCAGCTAGTATTAACAATGTCAAATAAATCAATACAAGTAAAAATTGTTGTCTGTTTTAAAGTTTAGTGTGCGGTCACGTCGCTGTGTCCGAAGAATCAATACTTCAACAAAGAGCAATTACTGTAACTAAACAAGGGCACTTGTTGCACAACCGTTTAAAAACTTTTTTAGGTTGCGTTTAATAATTAAGTAACGGCCATTTACCTGTACAATGCTATATTTCATGACATTGTCAATGACAACAATAACAATACAGTGGTATTGATTATATGACCTAACCCATTGT